GAGGGCTCATGGGAAGCCATGAGATGCATTTTCCATTGGGTCACCACTTGCCACTTGGCAGTCTGACTGCAGCGCCCGTGCTCGGGGTTTGGGAGGGTCTGGCAGAGCTTGGAGCAAGCTGCACAGCCCTGAGAACACTCCCCTCTGCCTGGCAGGGTGGGTGGGCTTCCATCCTTGCACCCATGGGTGCCTGCTGTCTCCTAAAGAGAGATTCAGACCCTGGGTTATGGGGATGGCTTTTCTGCTGAAAGTGAAGCATGTGGATGAGGGGGGACATGGGCATCTCCACAGCCATTGCTGTGGGCAGACATCTGCCCCAGCACGAGCAGACAGAGCTCTTTCCATCTCAGGATCTCCCGAGGTGACTTGTTCCAGTGTCCCCAAGGGACATGACAGGGACACTGTGAGCCTGAGCCTGCACCTGCAGAACTCATATTCTCATTTGGCCTGTCTGTCCATCTGCTCTGGTCGTGGGGCAGTTTGTTGGTGCTGGTGGTCAGATTGTCCTGGGTGGAGGGGCAGGACCCACACCAGAGAGGCTTGGTAGCTGCTCTCCTTCCCCCTGTTGGATATCAGAGCAGAACCACCAGCACTGCCCTGGCTGCTGCACGCTGCCAGTCGCAGCTCCTCAATAAATACAACTGGTAAATCTATTAATTTTACAGCTCTAATTGATGTATTGCTGTAATTACCTTTTATAACAAGGCAATTAAGCCCTATTAAAGATTATTAGCTAATTAAAACTCCTCTGTGCACACACCACAACCCCCTTATATGCACAGATTGTTGGATGGGGGGAACTGGAAGCCCTTTGCAGCTGGGTCTCGAGGTCAGCGTGATGCACAGCATGATGTGATGGGGCAGGATGCTGCATGGGGAGATCATGGAACCACAGGCTCCTTTGGATTTAAAGGGGCCTTAAAGCTCATCTCATTCCACCCCCTGCCATGGGCAGGGACACCTCCCACTATCCCAGGTTGCTCCAAGCCCCGTCCAACCTGACGCTGAACACTTCCCAGGATCCAGGGGCAGCCACAGCTCCTCTGGGTAACCTGCGCTGACACCTCACCACAGGGAAGAATTTCTTCCCAACATCTCCTGTAAACCTTTTTCAATTTAAAGCCATTCACCCTTCCCCATGTCCCATTCTTGCCTGTACCATCACCTGTGTCCTGCTCAGGGACCAGGTTGCACATGGTGGATAATGCAAAAAGATGGAAGAACACAATGTGTACCTCAGGGAGATCTGATTGTTGGGTGAGAACTATTCATTCTGGGGTGTGTCACCTAGCCAGGGCTATCAGGGATCAGGATTGCTGCCTGCATCCAACCCAGAAATTCTCCACTTTGTGGGATCAGATGGGAAAAAATGTTGAGGCTGGGATCTTCTCCTCCTGGTAGTGAGGCAGATGGGGGTGTAAGGCTAAGGATGGACCAGAAGAATGGGTTTAAAGGGGAAAAATCCCACTTGGAGATGGGGTGTGTCTACCCTGGAAAGGAGAAATGGCCCTGTGCTGGGAACAGAATTCAGGGAAATATATTGGAAGAACTTGGAAGGTTCTGGGAGACAGGGGTGGCTCAGCCCTGGGTTGCTGTGCACCTGCAAAAGCGAGTGCCAAAAGCTGTACAGCCTAAAAATGAACCCCAGGCTCCTTGCAAGGATCCTAAAAGATCTGAAAAGCCACCAGCAAAGGAGCCCCCAGGGGTGCCCCCAGGGACACTGCCTGACCCCATGGCTCATCCCCTTCCTGTGCCCCTCCAGTGGAGCAGCCAGAGAGGGGGGTCCCTGGAGCTGCACCTCCTCTTGTCGATCCCAAACCCAGCTTCATCACTGCTCACATGTTGTTTGTATCACAAAATGGCATCAATTACAGGCCCCAAAACTGGGCTGGTTTTGGAGGCTAAAGAGCCGGAAGTGCGTTGAAATTCCAGGGATGTGGCTCCTTTCTGCCTTCTGAGTCATGTGAGTCAGAATGCAGCCTCTGCTGAGGGCCTCTCCTCAATCCCCAGCCTCCCATCCATGCCTTGTCCCTCAGTCCATTACTCTGTTGCAGCGTTCTGCACCCCGAGTTCCCTCAGTGCCCACAGAACCCGGAGAAATCCACGTCAGTGGATCCTGGGAAATCCACGGTAGTGGATCCTGGAGAAATCCTGTGTTGAAGCACAGCGCGTGCCTGTGCCAGAGCCGTGGAGCACAGCCAGTCCTCCTGGCTCATCTGGTTTGAGTTAAGCCCTCCTGCCTTGCTCGGGTGCCAAGCGCCTCTGCCAGAGCCAGTGACCAGCTCAGGGCTGTGCTAGCTCCCTGTCCCTGTGTGGGATTGGGATGCCCCTGCCCCTGGGGGCTGCTGGAGAAGGGCAGCAGCATCTCCATGTCCAGGAGAAGGGGGTTTGAAGAGCAGGAGCGTGGGGACAGCACTGTCCCCCCATCTCGGGGGAGCTGCGTGTGGAGCAGCTACTGCAAAGGAGCTGAAGCTGACCCTCCCTGGGGGCTTTTCACTCCGGGCTGCCAACAGCCCCCGCGGGCTCCGGAGCAAGCCGGCTCCCCCAGGTCCCCCCTCGATGCCCAGCCCGAGGGACCCCTCGGGTTTTGTCCCCCGGGCAGTGAAGGGTGGGATACTGAGCCGGGGTCCCGTCCACAGCAGCAGCTTTGGGGGGAGCATGAGGTGCCAGGAGTGCCAGATCAGCCACAGGCTGTGCCAGTGACCCTTAGCTGTGATTTCCAGCCGTTGCCCAAGCCGGTCCCTTCCCGCCTTTAGCCTGGATGCCGTTTCTCACATTAAAGCCATCAGCTTTCGCCCGCCGTTGGTGACCCTGGAAACGCTCCAAGGTCCGTGCCCCCGCGGATGCCCTGGACAGGCGGGCACCTCCTGCTGAGAGAGCACCCTGGGGCCAAACGGCCTTTGGCTTTCCCTCCACGGCCTTTGGCTTCGCTCCCACCCAGGCTCGGGGTTTGAAAGAAAACAGCGCGGAGGCGCAGGGCGGGCGGGCCGCGCGTCCCGGCAGCTTCCGAGCGCTCCGGGCCCGCCCTCCGCCCTGCCCGCCGGCCCCCGGGGCACCGTCCCTGCTGCCGTCCCTGCTGCCATCCCTGCCCCTTGGCCCGGCCGCAGCGTCCTGCCCGCCTGCTCTCGCCTGCCCTGGTGTGTGACACGCACGGCTGTCCCCAGGGCTCCGGTGTCCCCCCGCCCACCAGGGACGGGGCTGTGCGCCTGGGAGGGGGAAGGAAAGGTGTGGGGAAGGAGAGGCAGCCCGGGACAGGCAAGAAGGCAGGAAAGGAGGAATCTGTGTGGCACTGGGCAAAGGAATGGGGTGGAGGAGCGCAGACCCCCCCTGGAGATGCAGTAATGCCTGCAGCACTCGGGGGGCTTCTCCAGGCAGAGAGGGCTACCCTGCGAGCCAGGGTGGGCAAGGGGGTGTAGCGGGGGCGGGGGGAAGGAGGGGGAATCCCGACGCCCCCTGTGGCAGTGCCAGGAGGGCTCTGCCCAGCTGACCCCCCCGCCTTTTCTCCCCTTTCCCCTCCCGTCTTTGACGTGGCGCTGGGGCAGATTCCCGGCGCGGAACTGTTGCTTTTTCAAAGTTTGACCCTGGATTGTTGCCGGCTCCTCTCCCCAGCCCGCGGCTGCCAGCGGGTTAATCATTGCCGCGCAGCGCACACGCGTGTGTCCTGTGTGCGCCCCGCGTGTTTGCGTGTGTTGCTCCGTTGCTGTGTGAGTCATTCTCAGCCCGCCTGGGGCTCTGCTGCCCTCCCCGAGCGCAGAAGCAAATTGAGCTTGGATTGCAGCGCGGACGGGAGGAGCCGGGAGGCCGCGGCTCCGGGGGAGGCTCGGCTTGGCTGTGCCCTTGACCTTGGACCCCTCTGCTCGCAGGAATGGTTGGGGGAGGTTGTGCTTTAGGGTGCTCCGGCTCTCGCCAGCGTTCCCAGCTTCAAGGTGCAGCTGCCTTCTTTCTTTCCTTGCCGCAGAGCCCAACTTTCCAAGCAGGAGCTCACACGGAGGAAGCTGGATCCCACCAGGACCCCCACCCACCCCTCATTTCTAGGCTGTCAAAGGGTTGTTTTTCCATTCCCATTTCTCACACGCTGGAGGGTTTGGCTCCACAGCACAACGCAGGGAGGGGGATGAAGTCCGAGGAAGGGACATCCTCTCTCTCTGGTAGCACTGGGAGTGCCAGGAAGCATTTGGCAGATCTGGAAATCACGAGTCCCGAGTCTCGGCAGAGCTTCTAGGGAGACAAGAGCACCCCGCACCTGCTGGGAGGACTGGGAACCACCCCTGCTGGGAGCTGGCCATACTGGAAGGGTTGAGTGGGACTGGAGAGGGCCGGGAGGCAGGAGAACAGGAAACAGGGAGTTGGGGTGGGGATACAACTAGTGCTCAGAATCTGGGGAGCCACAAACTGGCACAGCTGGCACAGAGGAGAGCTGGGAAATGGGGAATCCCAGTGCTGAGAGAACTGGGCAAAACCAGTGCAGGGAAGTGGGTAGGTGGGTGGGGGCATTCTTTGGTGCCCCAGATCTCAGGGATGCCTCAGGATTCAGGGGAACCTAGACCCGGGTGTTTCAGGACTGTATTTGGGTCCCTGGACCCCACAGTTTTAGGTACTCCAGGGTCCTGCATTCGGGGTGTGCCAGGACCCCCACACCCCGGGGTAGCTGCTGAGATGCTGCCTGCCCTGTCCTGTGGGACAGCAGTGCCCTGGAGGTGCTCAGCCCAGGAGTCCTGGGGGTGCCTGGCTGCACCTCCTCACTGCAGCCCCCCTCAAGGTGCCCTTTTCCCTGGCCAGGTCCCCCCAGTCTGCAATGCAGCCTCTGTCGGAGGAATCGCCCTTTTCCAGCGTGTGGAAGGGGGTTTCCCCGGACCGTGTCCGCAGAGACACCCTCCCGCGGCCCCTTCACCCAGGGATATTTTCCCAGCCTTTCCTAAGGAAGGGCTGGGACTGATGCGAGTTGTCTCCACCCAGCTTTTGGATAACTCCACCCGCCGCCGCCTCTCAGCTCCTCCTCCCAGTGAACAGCCCAGCTGCGATATAAGCAAGTCACTCAGGCCCCGGGAGCTGCCGCGACAGCTGGGCGGGTGGCGTGGGACATCGCGCCGTGACCTGAGCCGTGCCCTTCGCCTCGACGCCGGACCCCATGGCGACGCCTTCGCAGAAAAGGAGCACCCGCAGCGGGGCTTCGGGGACCCCCTTGTCCCCCACACGCATCACCCGGCTACAGGAGAAGGAGGACCTGCAGGAGCTCAATGACCGCTTGGCCGTGTACATCGACAAGGTGCGCTCGCTGGAGCTGGAGAACGCCGGCCTGCGGCTCCGCATCACCGAGTCCGAGGAGGTGGTGAGCCGCGAGGTCTCGGGCATCAAGGCTGCCTACGAGTCGGAGCTGGCGGATGCCCGCAAGACCTTGGATTCGGTGGCTAAGGAGAGAGCTCGGCTGCAGCTGGAGCTCAGTAAAGTGCGGGAGGAGCACAAGGAGCTGAAAGCCCGGTGAGTGCCCTGGGGACGGCGGGGACCGCAGCGGGACGGGTGCTGTCGTCATGCTTGGCAGGGAGCCGGGAGGGAGGAAGGAGTGACCTGGAGGAGGCAGGGAGAGAGAGGAAAAATCCCCGGCCTGGCCGGGGCTGGAGTGTCTGTGGTAGGGACCAAAAGAGGAGAGAAGCTCTCTCGTCATTCCTGCTCTCCTTCCAAGCGCCATCTTTGGCCGGGATGCCCTTGGAGCGGGGATTTGGGAGCGGAGCTGGGGACGCTTGGGGCAGGGGCTGAGCAGACCTGCCCTGGGCCCCCGGCACGGTCGGTGTTATGCGGGCCACAAGCGCCGGGCTGGCGGCCCCTCCGCCTTCGTCATGCTGGAGCTATTCCTAAACACGCTCCGGCACAGCCCGGGAAGCCGTGCCAGCCAGCTGGCTCTGTCCTGCCTACAGATTTCGCCTGCTCGTCCTATTTTCCTTTGCTGTCTTTGGCACCGGTTAAAGAACCTGCTCCAGGTTTTGTTTGCCTTAACCCTCCCTGTGCCAAGCTGCTCCCACTCTGTGGGGTCCCCGGCTTTGGGGGTAGAAGTGTGCGGGCATTGCTCGCGTCCCCCTCCCACCAGCTGTCACCGGGCGGTGTGCTCCCGTTGAGGCACGAATTCCTCCAGCCGCTTCCCATCGGGCTCGCTTCTTTCCCTCCCTGCCGTCAGAAATGCCCCCCTCGTGGACCCCTCCCTGCTGCCCCTGGGTGCCTCTGCCCTCCTCGGGGCTGTCACCGGTTGCCGGCACAGGTCCCCTGAGGACACGGGGCTCCCTGGCCGGTGTCACTGCTGGCCGAGCAGGGGCTGGCGCTGGGCTTCCCCCGGGCTCTGCCAGCCCGTGCGGCGTCGGGACATGTCCCCGTGGCGCTCAGTTCCCCGAATGCCGCTCCAGGGAAGGAGCGAGCGGATCCCTTTCCGTCATCAGCTTTGGCTCGCAGCCGCGCTCGGGCTGGGCAGTGGCGGGACTGCCCCCTCTTACTCCATTTGATCTTTTGCCTCTTATTCTGGACGCCTCGTTTTGAGCCTGTACCAAATGAGGCTAAAATTAACTTCCTTAGCAGATGCCATAAATATTCTACCTGGGAGGGGGGGACTGTGCTGTTAGAGCCGTATCCGAAAGCTGTCTGCGGTTATATTTAGCTTTCTGTTTCCCGTGCGCCGCTGCAGCTCCGTCCTCGGATCAGGCGCTTTGCTGCTCGCCAGATCCCTGCTCCCGGATCCCAAGGATCCGGATGCTGCTGAGAGGAGGAGCTGAGCTGTCTAAAGACTTTTTTTCCTGCCTTATGCAAACCCAGAACTATCTTGGCCACGATCTTTCGAGGGCTGGAAAAAATGCCCGGCCCGCAGCCGTGGCTGGAGGGGAGCTGGAGCTGGCTGCGCTGTGGAGCCGGCCCTGTGGAAAACGGATGTGGAATTTTTCCCTGCGACGGGGCTGCGCTCCGGGAGCTGCGGTGCTTGTTCCCGGCTCTGACAAATCCCCTGAAAGAGTGCTGTGACTGGCGGGGGATCCCGGAGAGCAGCTTGTGCTCGAGAGATGGGTTTCGGTGGGTTTGGGAGAGCAGCAGGGGCGCGGGCTCCGGGGGCCAGGGGTGTTTCTGTGTTGAGTCATCTCTGAGTCACGGTGCGATGGGAGAGCGGAGATGCGGGGGAAGCCGCTGCTGTTCATTCCTGCCTCTGGCTTGTCCCCTCTTCCTAGGGCGCGGTATGAGAGCTGCTCTCCAGCCCCAAAACCCCTGCGAGGAGGCTGCAGCTCATCTTGTGTCCCTGGGCACCAGCTCGATGTGCCGGGGCTGCTCAGAGAGCAGCACAATCACCTGCTGAGCTGCGATGCTGCTCCTTGGGCTCACTTTGACTGGGCTGTCCCGAATCTTTGGGGCATGAGGGAATGGAGCAGCCACGAGGCCGAACCTGTTGAGGGTCAGAGCTGTGGGGGGGATCAGGAGGGCACTGACACTGCTCTGCTCCCTGCACCCACTTGGGCAGGGATGTGCCCGCTCTGCCGGCACTCTGAGCCCTTGGGTCAGCACCGGAGCCACTTCACTGTCCTTGACACGGTGAGACTTCGGCTAATAATTAACTGGCAGCTCCCTGCGCCCCTCGCTGTGCCCGTCAGCCCCGGAGAAACGCCGGGTATCTCCCGCAGGGCAGGCGCCCGGGGCGGTGTTATCAGCACCCACAGCATCGCCGCTGCCTGATGCAGGGGTTGTCTCGCCAGCACAGAGGGAGGGTGGGGGGCCGGGATGCCAGGGCATGATGTGACACGGCCCCGGGTGCTGGGTGCTCTGTCTGGGGTGGGGAAAGAGCTGCTGGCTGGAGGGGGACAAGCTGTGCAAACAGGAGACCAGTCTAACCAGTACCAGTGCAAGAGCTGCATGGGTGGAGGAGGGTCTGAGAAGAGCTGGGCTGCCTGCCCTCTGCCTCCTGCCACCCCTCTGCTCCTGGCCGACTGCTCTTCTCTTGGCAGAGTTTCCAGTGGGATCTTCCCACTGCCTGTTTGGCTGCTGCCAGAGGTGATCCAGGAGGGGTTTCCCAAAGTGCCCACCTGGCTCTTGGCATGGGAACCCTCGGCCCTGTGCAGCCTGGTACTGGTTGTGCCCCAGGACATGGGGCAGTCCTGCCTGTCCTGGTGCCACATGTGTCCCCAGCTCTGGATGGCCTCTGGCTGTGCTGTAGCCACGCTTCAGGCACATCAGAGGGTGTGGGGAGGGTGGCTGGTGACTCAGGGGTGCTGGCAACAGCAGCATCATCCCCTCCCAGGCCACGGGCAAAGGTAGGACTAGTCTGAAATGCCTCTGTCCCTGGTGTCCTCAAGCTTCTGTCCCCTCCTTGGAGAACACCTGGATTGCAGCATGGCACTGGGGGTTGGAGAGGTGCTCTGTGCTTGGTCCTGCCCATTGCCCCCTCTCTTTAAGCTGGCTTCTGACTCACAGGGTGAACAGAGCCACAGCCCTTGCCTTGCTCCATGGGAGTTAATCCCATCCCACAGTGCAAGCTCCAGCCTGGGCATGCAGGGGTGTAGAATGCAGCCCTTGGCACCTTCAGTCCCAGCAGAGACCCCTGAGGATTCAGTGCCCACCTCATGGGCAAGGAGTGGCCATGTGGTGGCCACACAGTGACCAGCTGCCCTCTCCAGGCAGGAACCAGCCCTCGTTAGTACCACGCTGATGAGCAATGCCTTCCTGAATTGCAGCCCCTAACCTGATTAAGGCAGTGTCTTGGCAGCGCCTCTTCCTCCCGGGGCCCAGATCTCATCCCTGGCCCTAATGAGGACAAATCTCCTTTTTCCCAAACGTTGTTGTGGAGGGGGGAGCTCGTCCAGGGGCAGAGCAAGGGAGGCAGCACTGGGGTGCCAGGAGGTGATCTCCACAAGCCTTCCCCAGTCCGAGGGGGTTTTGCCCCATGCTTTGTCATCCTCCAGGCAGGAGCAGGTAAACAAAACCTGTTTAGTTGAAAAAAGGGAGGAAAAAGAATTAAGGCTTAGTGCTCTGGGGGGGGAGGGGGCTTGCACTTCCTTCAGCAGCCGTGAGCTTGTGCTGGAACATTTTGCGTGGGGTGAAACCTCGGGCTCCTGGGTTTCTCCCCCGTCTGCCTCATGGAATCCCTGCCAGGGAGGGAATGCTTTGGCTGGGAGGAGGCTTTGCCCTTTTGGAGCAAACAAAGAGCAGCTTGTGCAGCTGGGGATACTTTGGGGGGAGTCATCAACACAGAGCTGGGCTGATCCAGACCTCCGTGGCCCTCTGGGACCCTCTTAAACAGGCCAGCCACCCTGAATCTCCAGCCCTGTGGACACACTGGCTGTCCCCTGACATCTGCAGCCAGCAGCTCAGGATGGCCGGGCATTCCAGCCCTCCTGGCACGCTGCAGGGCTGGAGGGCTCCGTGGCAAAACGTTTCTTCCAGGCGAAGGTTTTCATTAGCTGTTCCCAGTAGAGAGGAATTCTTGCCTGTGCAAACATCCAGCCCCTCTTTTTCCAAGAAAAATTGTGGCAGAGAAACGTGCTCCAGCACTTTTGGTTTGTGACCTCGCTCCCATCTCTGCATTTGCCAGTGTTTTCCAGCCACAGCTCACTTTTCCCAGGATTGAGGGGAGTCAGAGTTGCCTCATATATATTTAAGATGATAGGATCCACTCTGGAAAATGAAGGACCTTGTCTTTGGAGCTGGGGGCTAAAGAGAAGCGATTGCCAAGAGAGTCAGGGCTGAGTTTGGTGTGGGAAGGGATCCAGCCCCTCCCAGCCTGCCCGGTCCCACATGCTGCCACAAGTGTTTTCCAGCCTTGCACGTGTCACTTCACTTGCCTGAGTCCCATCAACACTGAAAGTCTGGAGCCCAGAGAACAGGGAGTTCCCCTGTGTGGTGCTCAGGGATGCAGACAGAGAAGGTGACACAGCCAGGGTGGGACATGTGGGGCGGCTGCCAGCTCCTTATTCGGCTGAATTCATGGCCTTTGGGAGGGGTAGTTTCCTTTTGTGCTGCTGGCAACCAGGAAAGGAGGAAGTCACCAGAGTTCTCCCTCTGGTCCTGGCCAAAATTAGAGCTGTCATGGAGGATTCCCCAGGAAGTGTCAGCCCAGTGGGTTCAGGGTGAGCTGGGAATCACCTCCCACTGTCCTGCTACTGGCTGCGTTACCTGTTTCACCATCCTGCTCTTTGTGAGGTTGTTTGCTGAGCCTGTTCCTTTGTGACCAGCTCAGCACGTTCCCAAACAGCTGAGGCTGGTGCCATGTAAAACCTGTCTCTGCTGACAGCTGCCACCAGACAGCATGGTGTCAGGGCTGGGTGCCCACCTGCCCCTGCTCCCTTCCCCTCCCTGCCAGGGCTGAATATCCCCAGTGTGGAGCTGAACAACTGTGGGGGCTGGCAGGGTCCCCCAGCCCTGCCTGCTGCAGTGGCAGCTGCAGCCCTGATGCAGAGACATCTGTGTGACAGCCAGACTCCCAGCTGCCCAGGAGAAGCCCAGTCCTTGCAGGGATGGGGCAG